GGCAACATGACATTGAACCCGGTGTAATTGTAAGACTAGTTTCAATTACAATGCCTGCTCGAGGGTCCTGACGATTGTCGATTAGTAGACCCTGGCTCAGAAGCACCGAAATATTCCTCCACGATCCAGCTTTCATCTATCAATGTGCCACTATTGGCCTCACTGGAATAACACCCGATGCCATTCTGGCATTACTTGCAGGCCTCCATAACTGTTTAATCGCCCTCTACTTCAGTTTAATCCTTTGTTATATCTTTTCTTTGACCACGACGCCCCTCACAAACCACAAAAGCCAAAAGAACCGCATAACACCTCCAAGTCGCCTGTCATGGCAGGTACTTTAAGAGTTGTGCCTGAGCTCTCTCCAAGTTCCGTTGCAGTCATCCGAGCACATCCAAATAGTCACGGTCAGGTAGTGAGGCTTTCTGCCATTGATCAAATTGCGCCCAGAGACTACATATCAACATGTCTCTTTTTTCGACACAGTCCCGATGCAGACAAGCAGCAGATCTTTCTTGCTCTGCATAAGGCTCTTTTGATGACTGTGAACGACATTCCTGAGCTTACATGCTGTGTGCAAAAGCGTGTTGACAATAGGCGTGAAGAGGTTGAGCTTGTCTTTGACTCTGCTAGAGGCGTCGAGATTTACTACAAAGACTACAATTCTCCTCAACTCTGCGGCCTATGGACCTATGGAAATTTTAATCAGCTTGAGGAGGAGCATTTCCCACATAGCAAAATGCCCAGGAGCCTTGTTTTTGGACCTTCATCTAAGCTAAAAGACGATGTGAAGCTCCCTTCTCTTATCGTGCAAGTCAACTTTATTCCCGGGGGCCTCATTCTTGGGAGCCAGTTACATGTAGGTTTCTGCATTTAAAGCTGTTGGACCGCAGACTAACGAATCAATAGCATGTAGCGGGAGATGGTCAATGCAACTTCATGCTTTGGTCCACTATAGGGTCGCATTTTGCTGCCGCAACTAGTGAACCATCAAGCGAACAAGGACCACCGGTCCAATTATTGGACAGACACGACATCGTCAAGGGCGACCTCGATGCGTCCTTGCAGGAGTTTCCCCACTGGAAACTGGCAGAAGATGAGGACAAATTTCTCAATCCCACGGAATACGATTCAGACGAGGTGTTTGAGAGCGCCACTTACTTTATCCCAGCTGATAAGCTTACACAACTCAAAACACAAATCTTGAGCACTATGCCTCCTGCTACCAAGGCTGGAACAGTCAGTGCATTGTGCGCGTTCCTATGGCGTCATGTAGTTGTGGCCAGAGACATCGATTGTCGAAAGTATCCTGAGGCAAAGCTAGCTATTACAGTGGATGCAAGACCCCGTATGAAAAGCCCGGTGATACCATCTACGTATTGGGGCAACTTTGCAGAGCCAAACGCCGTGGCTCAGCTACCTGTAGCTAGTCTCCAAGAAAGCTCGACTCTCTCATCGTTATCGTCACAGCATTGCACAAGCACAATCTACGGTCAGGCCGCACACATTGTGCAGAGGGCGATGGCTGCAGTGGATGACAAGGCGGTTAGACGACTCGTCGGACTTTTAAATCAGATGCCGAAGAGCACCACCTTGACCTGGAACGCCAATCGTTATCCAGGTCCTGATATGCTCATAGTGTGCATCCAGCACCATAGGTATAACGATATCAACTTTGGGAAAGATATCGGTTATCCTCTCGCTATGAGATTTACTGTTGGGGATACAGAAGATAAGCCCGATGGCCGTTGTCTAATTCTACCACCACGGCGTGCTGATTCTAAGGGGCTGGAAATATCGCTTCAGTATGATAAAAGAACTTTACGGAGGCTCAAGGACAATGCTGAGTTTTCAGAGTATTTCACGAGAAGGAATTAGTTGGGGCTATTCGTTTAGTGAATCAAGTTTAATTTATAAGGAAAAGCAATCATTCTTTCCGGGACTTTGAATGTTTATGCCTCACTAACTACGTCAATCAGCAAGCGATGGGCACGCGCATTTTATCAAGTGCATAATGTTGCGGCGTCGCCGAAGCCTTCTCATATTGTTTTCATTTTTCCACTTGCCCAGCTGCACACTTCAGATTCTAGTGTATTATGTTGGTATTAATTCCGTCTTCTCTCTGACATTCTTCTCTTTATATCGCTTACTATTCTTCCTTACACCGTCAGCTGCTACTGGAACGAGGGAAGCAGTCCAATTCGACATGGGTTTTCTATTTTAGCCCCCAAGCAACCCCACTCGTGTCAGCTCACAACAGTCAGCAAAATGAGATATTTTCAGTCTCACTCAAAGTCCCTTTCGTAAACACTAACTGCCCTGATCCGTTTTCGCAATAATGTTGTGCGCAGTATGTATGTCCATCTTTCAGACCGACGCGAAGAAAGGGCTTCACCACAAAGATTATGAAAGTATTGCCACCGCCGCAAAGAATGGGTGCAGAATCTGTCACTACCTGCGCAGTAAGCTTTCCTCTGAGGATTTGAAGGCTATAGAATATGAAGCCAAGTGGGGAAACGCATGGGAGTTTCATTGGGAAATTGAATTCTATGAGGTTGGCACCGGATCATCAGTCGACGATCACAAAGCCCGAATCTTCTCAGACTGGTGCGTCTTTGTTGATGTGTCTTCCTCATCAAAACCTCCAGCTGGTTATGACCAGTTCCTCGACGTTGTTGCTGCTGATCGAAGCTCTGAACCGACGCGAGTCCGAACAGAATTTCCCTCGTTGCGGGATATTCCTGATAACACCGGCCACCAGGATGTCGCACGGCTGGCTAAGACGTGGCTTCAGACCTGTACAGACCGTCATGAGTGCGGATCTTCTTCAGAAGACGGCTGGTATCCCAAGCGACTCATTTCTGTTGGCGATGAACAACAGTCTCCAAGATTGATCATTTCAGAGAACGAGAGACCGGAAGGCTGTTATGCGGCATTGAGTCATTGCTGGGGAGAAGACCCAAAGTTCTTGATGTTAACATCGGACAACTTGTTCGACTTTTGCAGTAAAATCCAATTACAGAACCTCCCAGCCAGCTTCAGAGATGCAATTATGACCTGTCGTCGAATTGGCATTCCCTACATCTGGATCGACTCTCTTTGTATCCTACAATCTGGCCTCGGTTCTCACGAAGATTGGCTCTCACATTCGGAGGACATGCATCTAGTTTATCACAACTGCTCTTTGAATATTTCCATCGATATCTCTGGGAATCCCCATGGAGGTGCTTTCAGGTCGAGGGATCCGACGTATCTGCAAGACTGCTATGTCTGGAGTCAGTTTTACGCATCGCCCGAAAGGACAAGCGAAAGCGATCACGAGATAGGTGATAGCTCAGAAAGTTCAGATATCTGGACTATCTGCTCCATATTCACCGCCGACGACTTTTCTTGGGCAAGGGTAGATCTCCCTCTTAGTAACAGGGCATGGGTATTCCAAGAACGACTTCTTTCGCCGAGAACCTTACATTTCGGTTTAGATCGCATATCCTGGGAGTGTGATAGAAGCCGGAACCTCACTGAATATCTTCCAGAGGGCGTGAACGACGATAGATGGTACGGCTTCGATTGCTTAGCACAGAACGCATTCAGCGTCCGTGACAAGGGAGATATTTTCACATACTACTACGATCTGGTTTTCCCATATACGAACCGCCAACTTAGTCATCCGGATGACGACAAACTTGTTGCTTTCGCTGCTGTTGCCCGACGTTGTATATCATGGTTCGGCAGCGACTACTGCGCTGGAATATTTCGCAGCACCATGCCACAAGGTCTCCTTTGGGAGATGTCTCCCGTTGGGAGGCTAGGACGGTCGGAGGTTTATCGTGCGCCGTCTTGGAGTTGGGCCAGCTTGGATTGCCGTGTCAGATATGATATCCTGGACGATGATGGAACTGTTCTGGCCGATGTAGTTGATGTTATGGTGGAATTGGTTGACCCAAACAACCAATTCGGCCAAGTAAAGTCTGCTTCTTTAATACTGACTGGACCTCTGGTAGCGTCTGATGAGCTCATCCTCAAGGAAGCCAACGATGAAGAGTTAGTGGCCGAGGGTAGACGTGGTCGTAATGGCTACCAAGACATAAAGACTGTGCTAGGACACACCTTTGGCATCAGTGCTGATACTGTGGACTTGTGGGAGGAAGGCGAAAGGAAAGCTTGGCTAATATCCCAAAAGAACATGTATCTCCTTGCAATTTTGGAGACATCGAACAAACCTCATACGTATGGTCTTCTCGTGCAGAAGAACGGTGATGGTACTTTCACAAGAGCTGGATACTGGGAAGCTGGGCCGGGGTTCGTAGCAAAGCATGCAGATTCGACATGTCGATTTATATCAGAGACAATCACAATAGTTTGACCGTGGATGATCGGATGAGTCCACATCCCGGCCTGACTGTTTGACATTACTAAATCTACCATGATAACCGGGCAAGCGACTTGGCAAGGGATGATCAGACTGGGCCCTAGCAAGTAATGGGCCGATATCTAACGGGGAAGAGTGTTGTGCATATGAAACGTTAAGGATTAGCCAACAGGCCAATCGGTTGCTGTAAATATCCCGAACCCAGTCATTCAGTGGATTGATGCAACCAACAGAGTCTCAAATTAGAAGGTTGCAATAACTATTTGTGTGAAAGGACGTTGTTTCTCTAATCTGACCAGTCAAAGATCATGAAGGGATTGGTCGTTGATGATGATTAGTACGTTGCAATTCATATTTCAAAAGTCGCCAGGAAGAACGAGCACATTCGCCGCACAGACTTGCGTAATGAGACCCCTGTCCGCGGATTATCCACGGCGACAATTACATGCGGATGGCGACAAAGTGACATTGGACATAGAATGCAACATCCTGGCTTCCATGGTTGAGTGATTGGATCGGTAGAATCCTGCGGCAATGGCAGGGAATAGCCGGTGTAATCTGATTCATTTCCTGTTCTCAACTTCTGTTTCCCCTCAATTAAACTGCAATCTGTCAGAAAGCAGTAAAAAGAATGGCTTCGCCAAAACCTGACAGCGAAGGCGCAAGTCCTTGCGATGGCGTAACGAAGCAGAATGTCTCACCCGGCAGTTCTCCCGCTGAAGGCCCTATTGTCGCACAGGTACCAAGTGCGAATTGGCTATTCGTCACGTCTCATATTAACGGGCTTACTAGGAAGACACCGACGGAGATGCCAGCGACTCAGCATTCGGAGATGATGCGTCAGTTTCCTTCGGGACCATAGGAACTATAACTAACCATTCCCTACAGAGAAAGCTCTACTGCCTCCCTCTCATCGAGCATTCTGGAATATCGCAGATTTCAAGGACGAACCTTTCATAGCGAGAGGTATAATACAGAGTATTTTACACCGAATGATGAGCAGCAGAGAGATTCAATTGATATCACGTAAGATCATTATAATGGCCACGGAAATTACTGACACGACTAGGCATCATGTTCTGACACTGCTCCTTGATGGAAAGTTGACGCCTGTCCCTTTGAAAGATGATACTCAAGTTCGTGCTCCCTCTAGACACCGAAACACGTCAGGAGACTCTGACAAACTGAAGCGGGTTCTTGATGTCGGTACTGGAACTGGTATGTAACAAGCCCTAACTCAACTATATGAGGACTCACAAATTCAAGGAATCTGGGCAATCTATTCACCTCTGAAGCTCCCTAGTGGGGCGCTCATCTGATGCTAACTGGTGCAGTGACTTTGCCGATGAACACCCCAACGTTGAGGTCATCGGAACAGACCTCTCTCCCATCCAACCAAGTTGGATCCCTCCAAATGTCAAGTTCGAGCTTGAGGACGCAACAAAAGATTGGAGCTGGCCTGAGAATCACTTTGATCTCGTCCACGTCCGATTTCTTATGGGTGCGATAGCAGACTGGGGAACACTTTTCAAAGAGGCTTCTCATTGCTGTACGCCAGGTGGTTTTGTCGAGTCTGGGGAGATCAACCCAACTTTCTACTCTGATGACGGTAGCATCAATGAAGTTGAGGCTCTACAAACCTGGAACAGACTGGTGATCGAAAGTGGTAAGGGCTTTGGAAGAAGTTTCACTGATATCGAGAATGACGCTCAACTATTTCGCGATGCTGGTTTGGTAGACGTGCAGAGCTTTGACTTCAAGGTATCCAACCATATAGGCCTCTGACAAGGCTTCAAGCTAAGATTATTCAGGTTCCCATTGGGGGATGGCCCAAAGACGAGAAAATGCGAAAGGTCGGCCAATTCCTCCGAGCTTCGATAGAAAATGACCTTGAAGGTAAGTCGTCCTTCTTCTGAACTTTTTACCTACAGATGCTTAATGTTCAAAGGATACACAATGATGGTTTGGCACCAGATCATGAACTGGCCCGAAGATGAATACCAGGTATTCCTGATGAACATGAGAAAGGCATTCAAAGATAAGAGAATTCATGGATACATGCGTGTTCGATATGTTTATGGTCGAAAGCCAGATGCTGAGAAATAGTTCTAAACTATTTGATGGTCTCCCATCATCCTCCTGTAGTCTAAGATGAAAGTTGTTCCTAAGATAAGGGCGGTTGCCCCGGGTTCAGTTAACCGAGGATTCTTGTTTTCTTGCGGATTAAAGTGGAAATCTATAAGCCCACTTGAGAGGCGATTGTGGGACTGTGTACTAAGTTTATTTTAGCATCCTCTGTTCAGGTTTGCGGGTTTTCTTGCTCCTCAATGGCCCGTCGTAAGGAATCATCATCCTATAGCGAGCGTTTGCTATGTGTATCACCACAATTTCGTGCATAAACGAGCAGTCTCGGCAATATTTTCAAAGTAACCCTGTTTTTCGTATGATAAGACGTGCATCATCTCCACTTATAAGTGTTGGTTGTTGGCTTATTGATATGCAGTTGGTTCAGGACCCTGGATTTCCTCCATCCTATTGCAGAAATCATTCCAAAAGTCGGACAAGTTTCCCTTTTTCTCTCTAGTATAACTTTCTAAGCGAGGTGTCGTCTGAGGAGGATACGAGAAGGATGTAACTACATACAACAGACCTTAGCGAGTGGATGCCACTGCATTCTCGTCAAAAGGATGAGGGGGTATAAATACCTGCAAACCAAGCAAAGATGACTTTGACAAACGAAATATTTAAGGGATCTAGCATCGCTTCTTGTTTGTTCTTCGAAATATGGGGCCCACTCTAAGTTCACTCCGATCCCGCTGGTCTCATCCCCAACTGCGGAAGCCAGTCTCAGGGCGAGCGGAGAGGGACCTTGAGCCCAAGCTCCAGGATTTGAAGTCTTTTATAGAACCTCTGATAACATCCTTTGCCGAAGAGATTGGTTATTCTCCTCTCAAGACTACTAGCAACGATGCCTTATGGAAGGCCATGCGTGCACATGCAGACAGCATAGGTGTACCCTATGAAGAAGGGACGCACTCATGGCTGATGTTTAAGGTTGGATATGTATACCCAGTCGTAAGTGTCTCATGGAACTCTCAATTCAAATGCTAAGAACACGTAGGTCTGTTTCCCTCATCACCCATTCGAAGTTCAGCTCTATATCGGAATATACTCATGGCTCGGCCTTCTCCTCGATGACCAAACCGTGGATTATCTTGAAGAGTTTTCATTGTTTCATGAACTGTTCTGCGCAGATGAAAAACAGTCCATCCCCCTGCTACAAGCTTGGGCAGATCTCATGAAACTAACTTTGAAGTATTGGGATCCGCTTATTGCCAACTTCATCATCACTGCATCCCTCAACTTCCTCAACTCTAATGCTCTTGAAGCCCGTGATGAGTTCCATACGATAGAGCGTACAAAAGCTGGTCGAAGCTGGGCATGGTTCCTTCGAGAAAAGCACGGCGTTGGAGAAGCATATGCTTGGTTCACGTTCCCGAAGACACCTTGCCCTGACATTTCACTTTTCCTGGAGGTGGTGCCAGACCTCTCCATATGGATTGGACTTACGAACGATGTACTATCGTAAGTCTGTGGTTTCTAGTGTGTCGACACTTACACGGAGGCTGATTAATTGCAGTTTCTACAAAGAGGAAATGGCTGGCGAGACTCATAACTATATCCATAACAGGGGATGGTATGAAGACAAAGACCCAGAATCCGTCTTTGCAGAGATAGTAGATGATATAACTACAAAAGCCCAGCAAAGTAAGTGCATACAAATGCCCTCACTTCCCATTGACTGACCCCTCATGTAGTACGACTTGTACTGAAAGGTCGAGAGCCATATCTCAATCTACTGAACACTCACCTCCTCGGATACATTGCATTTCACAACCTGAACAGCCGTTATAGACTTTGGGAAGTTGGCCTAGGGGAAGATGCCACGGACCAAACTGTGCTGGGGTCTTAATTGGCACATTCCTCGCTTTGTAGAAAGACAGATCAAGCTTGGATTTCAGTTTTCACTCTACTTTCTACGTATTTGAAATAAGAACCCAAAGTCGATCAAATGTTGAACTTTCTCGCCGCCAGATCTTCATCATTTGAAAGCCATGGATCACAATTTTCATAAAGCTCTGATTCGTAGCTTTTGGTTGAAGGGGGCGTATTCCGCCCAGATGTGCTTGTAGTCTCAGACGCGAAGTCTTCTATCTTATGTGTTAGCTATGTGAAGTTCATTTTGACACCCTGCGATCCATCCTCTTATTGAACTCACCCAGGCGTGCACATACTTCCTCTAGCCCATCTTTAGTACTTTTCACATTGGATGATTGACGGTGTCTCATGTTACACGACGTGCGGGTCGGCGTCTGAAAACCATCTGCGCGACTGTTAGATCAATCAGTATACTCAACTAAGTAACTCACCATCATCGGGTTGGTTCTCTTCTTCCTTGTCTGGTCCCATTTCGGAGTATTGGGTATTCAAATGAATCCGAGGATCAGCAGAAGCTGCTTTACTGTGATCGCAGCTGCGAGATTGCGCAGACCTCAGTCGAAGTCGATCACTCAGAGATAAAAATCCGTTTTGCAGTTTTTGGCGTTCAAGTATGCTTTGCATCTCATGCTCCAGAGCCAGCCTCTCCATAATGTCCTTTGCCTCTATCTTTAACTGTTGTACGCGCTTGTTTGAGGCTGCCAAGTCTATCTTGCAGATTTCTAGGTCTTTAGAAAGCTTGTCAGAGATATTTTGTAGTTCCTCAAGACGAGCATGCTGTAGGGACGATAGGCTTCCGCCGCTGGCTTCCCAAGTCTCAAGAATGGTCTTAGCCAGTGTTTCCCTGGCCATCTTCTCTCGAACGCCAGTCTCAACGGTCGATTGATATATGTGAGCCTTCTCCTTGTCGACAGTCTTTAATACTGTCAGAAGCTCACATTCTTCCTGCTCGAGCTGACTTGTATTCAAGGCCTTCTCGTCCTCCGAGCCAATCTCGCTGGAGTGCTCTCGAGTGAGCGTGATACCTTTGGTCTGAAGCAGGCGTTTCACCAGGACCATAGCAACATTCTCCGGAACTCCAAGCTGGTTCATCATTTCTTCTTTGCACTCCTTCGAGGGAGATGCTGATAATCTTATGGCACACGATACGAAATTCCCCGTATTCATAGGATACTGATCGAGTGGTAGTTTGGTATCGTTCAGTGTCCGCGTGATCAGGACTAGACTCAGTTTCCCTTCCAGTCTCCTCATCTCAGAAGATGCCAAGAGCTGAAGAAACGGAAGCTCCAGATCGACAGCGGCAGCATGAGCCTTAAAGGCAGTGGCAAGCTCTAAGCAGTTTCGCTCATCTTCCGTTTCTCCTTCTGGCTGGAGGTACTCATATTTATCGGTGGTTAGGTAATGAATGAGTATGTGCCCAACTGAGAACGGGTAGTCTTCGATATCAACAGTGTCGAGTGGCTTGGAGAAGATGTGCTTCTTGTCCAATCGCATGGCAAGTTTTGGACATTTTTTGAGGATAGTTCTAGTAATCTGAAGAGGCCCTTGGGATCTGAATAGGATGTAGCACATATCCCCAGAGTACTGGCTTTTCTCTGTGTTAGTATCGGATAGCTTATTCGTAGGTCAGCGCACGTACGACTTTTCCGGGGACATCGTATCGCCTTGATCTATGACTTGAACTTGTTTGTTTCCGGATGATGCAGATCAAGACCAAAGAAACAAAATGAGAGGTAGAAGACGCCTTCTCTTTTATTTAACATTTTTGTTGTGTTGGTGCTGTGTCTATGACGTGTCCTGGTAGGCCTCCCGCATCAGCCAGTAATAACTTCATTAGATATTTTCAGCGGCGCCCATACTGTGTACCAGTTAGAGTCATATTGTTGACCATTGAGTTAAGGACAAATAGATGATTTTGAAATGCGTGGTATCGGATGGACGTCACGCCACTCATAGGAACAAGTAAAGCAACGACAACGATCTCTAGACAAATGAGGGGGGGCCTGTGAAGGGAGAGGAAACTTCTGGATAGAGTTCATAGACATTGGCACTTTTTCCTGTGCATCTAACTATCTGTTCGATCAAGTAATTCTCAACCATCAGACATGTCAAACTTGGGGGCGCAGAAGTGTCGGTGCGGCCCCAAAAGTCTCTTATTGATGGTTGAGTTACTAACCAACGACGATATGTGATGCGTCATCTCCGTTTACTTTCAGCTGAGCGCTATGACCCACTAGGGGAAGGAGTTGGCTAATAAGACTCCATTCACGGCGACCGGGCAATGCCAAGACTGCGATCCCTGTACTCGGAGAGTGCCGAACCTGGGCTTACCTTACCTTAGCTAGTGTAAAGACGTAGTCAAAAACTGTCCTCTCTCCTCCGAATGGGCTGCATCAAATAATTGTTTATTTTTCCATCAACTTGAGTAAGCTTCCCAAAGCAAAGGTTTAGAGGAAAGCCTACGCATGCCATTTGTGTCTGTATGGACGTATTTTTCTCGTCTTCAGGGGATGACTGCGCATGCTTCCTATCTTCAAGGCTGTCTCTAGATTATGTCGATCACTAGTCAGTTAGCGCAGTTAAAATGAGTGTCGGGTGTATATATCGTGCTCCCTTAGTCTGATTCTTGAGTCTTTACCCCGCTTGGCATGGGACCTAACGGCCCAAGTATAAGTAGTACAGGTCGTATATGTTGCGCCCAGGTCTTGCAGGTCTTCCTGTCTATTATTCCTATCAAATCTATACCTAACAGCCCTTTGACGTCTCACATCATGGGTTCCGGTGCAGTACTTGTCATTGGCGCAACCGGCAACATAGGTGTCGCTGTTGCTATAGCTGCACTGAAGACTGGCCGTCAGGTGATTGCCCCAGTCCGTAACAGCGCCAGCGCAGCGAAGCTTTTCGAACATGCTGGAACGCGCGATGGTATTACCACTGTAGAGGCAGATGTGACCTCCGAAGACGGTATACGACACATCGTTGAGCGCGTCGAAGCCGGAAAGCTACCTGCATTCCAACACGTATACTCTAGCGGCATGTCCTGACACTTTCTATCATTTGCCTCAGCTAACCGAGAATTGAAACAGTCGGTGCATGGAATCCCACCTCGATCCTGAAACTCGATACTTCTTCTTTTCGATCTCTCATGGCCACAACAGTGGAGGCCAACTTTTGTACGTCTTCCATCAATGAACTACATAGACCTGCTGGCTGAGATAGAGATGAAGTCGCCTATCGAGCCACTATACCATACCTACTGAAGCAAGCTGATCCCGACAGCACTTGGACTATTGTGACAGGCGCAGCAGGGGAGCTTGGTGTGAGTCTTTTACCACTTCAAAATATTCAATGGCCCAGAAACTAACTGAAACAGGCTGCTGGGGCTACCGCTGTGGCTCAAGGCGCTTTGTTCACGTTGGCCAACGTGGGGTGTCGCGAATTGGCCGACACAAACGTTCGCTTCAACGAAGTTCACCTCTCTTTCCGTGTCGATTATGATGCTGTCGCCAAGCAAAAACAGGGTGGTAGTGTACCCAGTTCGCAACTTGCAGCTCACTACGTAAACCTATTGGCTCGACGTGATATTAGTGGTTCACGCATCAACTTGGGCAAGCCGGAAGACATAGAAAAACTTCCTTTCACTAAGAAATTGGGTTAGAATTGGCTTAGGTTATGAAGTTCTTACGTACAGCCGTTGTATCAGTAAAACATAATCATTAACTCTTTGCTGGAAGATTGTCCCTTTAACTTGGCCTCTATTCTAAGCGTTAGGTTTACAGAAATCGGTAACTCCAACTGGTATGCATGCGTCCTTGCTTGATTTCGGCTATTGATGTTGCTCCTTACAGTAAAAAAATGGTTTGTACACGTCATTCTTACTTATACACGTTGTATACTGGTAACTTAGGCATATGCTCTCCAACAGCAACTGTTGAATGGCTGCAATACAGATTCGGCAACAAGCATGTTGGAAGATCTTCAGAACTTTGCCCGACACCTAAGATGGCGGCTTTAGAATTGCTGATGTAGCCGCTTCTGATAGATAATTCAGATAGCTATGATACACTGCGAAGTTCGGACACTAAGTTCTCCATGTCTGCGCAAAGTCCGTCTTTATGTGAAGAACGAACCGACTTTCGTTCCGTGGTTCAATACGTATCAGTTGCCGTTGATTGACAAGTCGAGTGACGTCATGAAGTGAAGGTTTTGTAGCCGGACTTGATTGAGGCCCGAACACGCCGACGCTATTACCCAAATGCGGAAGCCGGTGCAATAAATTATCCAGCAACGTTGCCATCAACGGTTGGTGTTTTCGTCGGGGGTCTTGGCAATGCCCGAGCTAGTGACAGCCAATAACAGAGTAAAACATACACCGGATTAAGAGCCGGTCTTTCCAAAAAAGACCGTTGGATGTCATAGATTTTGTGGTTCCTCTACTCCACGTACTAGCTAAATTGATTGCCGGTTCAGGATCGATCAAAGTAGAAAAACCCGCCAAGTATGTACGAAGTTTGCACATTTGTGTTCCGCAACTTTTTCATCTCATCATCATCGACGATACAATTACCATATCATTTTATTTACATCGCCCTTACTCAAAGCCATGGCCATTACTGTGGGTGTTGCTGGAATCACTGGCAAATTTGCCCGCCTTGTGGTGAAGAACCTTCTCAATCACCCTGACCTTAGCATTCGGGGCTTTTGTCGCGATCCCAGAAAATTACCAGAACAAATAAGCGCGTCGACCCAGGTGACAATCATCCAGGGTGACGCAAACGATCTCAACGCATTGCGCCGCTTCGTCAAAGGTTGCGAAGTGGTCATATGCTGTTATCTTGGCGACAACACCTTTATGGTGGAAAGCCAGAAGCTGCTTGTTGATGCCTGCGACATGGAGAATGTTTCTCGGTATGTCGCAAGTGACTATTGTCTTGATTTCACCAAGCTCCAATATGGCCAGCTGCCTGCCAAAGACCCCATGAAGCATATCAAAGCGTATCTGGAAACCAAGAACAACGTCAAAGGCGTGCATGTACTCATTGGCGTGTTCATGGAGACCTTCTGGAGCGAATATTTTGGCGTTTTTGACCCGAGAGACTGTAAATTCTCGTTCTACGGAACCGGTCATGAGATTTGGGAGTCAACCACATATGGCACCGCAGCTGAATATGTTGCCGCGGTTGCCATCGACCAAAGTGCTGCAGGTATACTGCATTGTGAGTATCCTCACATTCTTACAAGTGAGAATTTGCTAATGAATACAGTCTTGGGAGACCGAAAGACTATTTTTCAAATTGCGGACGAATTCGGAAAAATATATGGAAAGGAGCCACAGCTCGAGCGGCGAGGTTCCCTTAAAGACCTGTATGACACGATGCACGCAACATATGAGAAAGATCCTCAAAACATCTATGCCTATCTTGCAATGTATGTTTCTTTCATCTTCATGAGCACCACGAACTCATACCTTTCGGGACACTGACTAACATATCTGCAGGTTCTACCAATATTACTGCACTAACGGTCAAGCGCACCTGAAAGAGGATCTAGACAACCTCAAGTACCCTGATATCAAACCGATCACGTTCAGAGACTTTCTTAAGTCAAATAAATTGGAAGACCTGAACGATGTGTACCATCAATAGGAATGAGAGACATTACCCTTGTGCTTCTTTGCGACTACTGCCAAAGGTTCTGTAGGGACGATAGACGGGCCAAGAAATACATAACATAGGTACACGCCGAGAGCGCCTTGAAGAAACTTCATTTCCAAAGATAAATCGACTTCAAGGCCTACAATTTCCAGTTGCCTATAGCGGTTTTACAAAAAGAACGGGCGTGGAAGTAAGGCTTCTGTAACGGACAAGCTTGGCTGTCATCTTACATGGATTAGTATCCAGACTATTCAAAGAGGCCAAGATTATAACCTTTTTCTAGTTATATTATAGGCACTAGCATAGGGTAACATAGTATCAAAGACTTGACTTAATCTTTCAGATTGGACAAAGTGAGCAACGACCAACATATGCAACGTCTGTCGCAGCACAAACACCTAAGCTGGTCACTGGTAGATAATGATATTACCAGCGGTCGTACAGCAAGAAGTGATCCATGCTGTTTGTGCTGCCCGATCCCGCCGGGCTTGGTGTCATGTTAGGTTCAGGACTTGACTCGACAAGCACTCCCTCATCGTCAGAAACAACGGCGATAGTAGGCTCTCGGTCGCTCTCTGAGGTTTCGGATTTCTCGGCCTCGGGTTTCGGTACCTGCCAGTCAGCAGCCGATGATTTCTCAGCCGCTGAACCATTAGCCAGCTGCAAGCAATTCATCGGGATTATGTATTCACTTACCAACAAAGTCCTTCATACTTGCGATGGAACTCTCAAGTTTAGTGGTAGGAGGGTTTGCCTTCTTTTCACCGTCAGCACACCTGCCGCAGGGAGGCGAAAATGGACAAGGCCAGCCTCTCACCCTTGAAGGCCCAGATTGAGCTTCCTTTTGTCCCTTTGCACCACGAGACTCAAAGTGAGAAACTGGTATTGCGGGTGTCGATTTGGGGACATCTCGTCCCTTACCTTTGTCGTTAGGCTGCGGGCTATTGAGAAGTTGCTGAAGATCTTGAGTTCGACGCTTGTATGGAAATCGCTGCCATTCAGGTTTTGCAGTGCCACGCTCCACCGTAGAGGTATAGGATGTTGAAGGACAGACAGGCAAGTCTCGGGCTTCATTCTCGGGTTTGGGCTTCGCTTTGGGTTCACTTTTTGGCTCATCTCGGGCAACCATGACCAACTTGCGAATAAGCATGTCTGTGATGCTGTTTGAAGTAGCCCGGTGTAGGAGGTCGCTAGCAAATTGGCTGTGAGGGTTTGCGAGCACTTTTTCAAGGTGAAATGCGATATGTTTCGTAAGTTCGGGGAAGTTATCGTAGTCGATGTTCATCTTCCCCAAGATGGCAACAAGATTCAAGAGATCCATTTCATGACATAGGCGCGCGCACTGTTCCTTGGCCAAGTCCACCAAAGTAAACAGTTGCTTCTTTCTAGCAGCTTCAATGACCTGCAGCGACACCCGGAGCTCATATCCCTTCGCAATATCGGCAGATGTGCCCGAGGGTTTGATGCAGTCATACTGTTTGGTGTAAAAGTAATGCAAGATCACATGGGCTATGTCATTCCCAATGTTCTGCATATCCAAAATGGGCGAAGCTGACTTGGGTCCAAGTTCGTGCGTACTCTTGTTGGATAGAACATTGTCTGGGACGACTCCTCTATGAATCCACGTGATCGACTTTCCTTTTAACAGAACCTTCACAAAGCTGTCTGCATAGGGTCTAAATATTTGTTAGCTTAGAAAGATGCACGTCAGTCCACCATACTTACGATGTGATGAACTGCGCGGGCAAATCAGGAGACATGGTGGCTGAATCTTGAGACATGGTGCTCGACCTGTTACCCATCGAGCTGGGCAATGAAAAGGAGATGATGATGAAAAGGAGAAGTATGTGAGGGCAGTGATGGGGGCGGTTTGCGGAATTTATATGTGTGGCAAGTTTTCCCGCATGGTTGATAGAAGCTTAAGACACCACTCACGCAATATAAAGTATCTCTCCTCAAAATGGTCTGAACACCCAATCATATCGTTGGCTTGGTGGTGGTGATTATTGACACTCGCCTCTGGTAAACTCTGTAGCCAAAAGACTTCCGATAAGCGAATCGACGCGCGATTATCTGAAGCTCAAAGATCCACTGAATGGTCCGACCTTTCCAGTAGATTCGATATCTTGCGGGGTCGAAGTAGGTACATCATGTGTTGGGGCGTCAAGCTTTGTCACCTCCTACCTTTACATTCAGTGGTGGGACTGGAAGAAGATTCTGAAGTTTATCGGGAGCCACAGGTCTTAACTACGAATGAAGGTCACGGAGGAAAAGTAAGCTTTAATTAAATCCTTTCCACTTCTTATCAAAGAGAGTCAGTGACAGAGAAATTTGTCATCACTGCGGAAATAGGTTCCGCCACCTCATCCTGAGTCACCCCAGAAAGCACAGAGTCTCATGAGATGCTTATACTTTACTGCCCAGTTTGATTCTTCAAGCCATTACATTACTTATCTACCAATCACCTCGAGGTGCAATCAATTATTTCCAATACTTCCATGTGTGTTATTATAAGCCATATCTACCACTATTGTCGTAGGCAAACTGCGACATAAAGACAGTTACGAGAGTCCCCAGAATAAACAATAGGCGATTCTAGCAGAAAGCAGTAGTAAGATTAAACGGAGACCTCCAAGTCATAGTACCCATTCTACGGTGTCTTCCAATCTCACCCTTCGCATTAATTCGACTCAATCTATATATCCATCTTTCCAATCAAAAACATTACCAAATTTCAAAGACTATGGTCGGATTCGGATGAACCCGAATCCCAATCCATGGACCCCTTGGCTTCACCAGGGTCGCCTTCCAGGGTAACGGAAGAAGATGCAGACGATTGCCAAGGCTCGTCAAATGAGGGCAGAATGCACTCAGCAAAATTCAGCTGGGATCCTGTTGGTGCCACTGGCCGATCGCAAGCTTCTTCAGCCTCGTCTGCAGTATCGTTGTCGAATTCCGCAGCTGATTCTGACTCAAGCTCGCCCGATGCAGTAGAAGGATTGGGATCTATACTTTTTCTCCTTGGATTGTGTTCCTTTCGCTGTCGATTCTGTTGAATATGTTGAATATGTTGTAGCATAGCCTGCGACATGGCGGCCGTTTGGTCTTTGTGTCTCATCGGGCGGTCATGTTCCATCGGTGATAGCCTGTCACAGTGAGGGGGTGTTCTGCTTCTCGACCTCTTCGATGTATCTCTGAATGGCGAGGGCGTTCTGCTTCTCAACCTCTTCGATGCATCTCCGAATGGCGGGAGAAGCCCTGTTCCATTATTTTCAGCTCTAGGAACCAAAGCAGGGAGAAACATCTGGGGAGGACGAAACCCGGGCTCTCTTGGAAAGTCGAAGTTGGAATCGGGTACGGCCGCTCTCTGCAATGGCTTTTCCTGGTGATTTTCCATCCTACTTCGGTCCTGCTGCCTTGCCGCGGGACCGAGGAACCGATCATCAACTGACTTGCTCACTGGCGCGGACTCATTCCCCGGTTTGATCCAGCTCGTCTTAGGTAACTTGCACTCTTCCAATCCAATGACCTCGGAAACAACCGTTGTCTCAGCCACCTTCTTTCTGTAGGCTTCATCTCGCATGGAGTCTTGTTTGCCCGACATGCACTCGATGTTGCTAACCTCTGTCATTGCTTTCAAAAGCATCTGAGCGACTGAGAGTGATGGTTGATCTCTCAGTTCGATGAAAGCCCTCAGGCTCCCTCCCGCACCGTAATCCAAAGCGGAACTAAGCAGTCGCTTCTCCAAGTACACAGAAAACTTTGGAAATAAGTTAGACCGGTAGTTCACTTCTTCAAGGAGTTTGAGCAGTTCCACCAGGCCCATGTCTTGAGCCTTGCGGAAGATCTCCCTCGCGGAGTCCGACTTAAGGTCCTCCATGCCGAACTGGTCTGCAAAATTGTGTACATGGATGATACTTTTGAAGTACTCTTCTCGCCTCGCCTCGAAGGGATTGCCCTGGAGACCCAACGTTCCGAATACCAGATATTCCCACAATATGTGTCCGGCACCTTGTGGCACAGTCTGCTGATTGATGTAAAGAAGTCCGGGACTCTGGTAGTAGATACATCCCAAAACATTGTAAGCGTGGTCATAGATATATGATGGTACATGACAGGTTATCTGCCTGTGTAGCTGGTGGTACTTCTCGATATTTGTCAAGTCGACATAGAAGATTTCGGGTCCCTGAACTTCGACGGCGACTAGTTGATTATCATTGCGCCACCAGTTCGCAGACATTGACGTTGCCATGATGAAGTAAATTTGGTGTTTCTGTTTGCTGGGCGAGTTTCTTACCGTGATACGGCGTAATGGGGAGAGAAGATAAGAGAAGAGGAGGGATTCAGCTGTTGCACGGGGCATGACATGGCATTAAATACATATTTATTGATCTTTTGACTCTTTTACGGCTTGACTCTGTTTCAGAGTTCTGAGATACTATTGGCTACCCTTCTCGTGATTGGTGACCTCCAGCTCACTAAGGCTGTTTAAGCCAGGAGAACAAATCATGAAGCGCCACTCATTGGAAGCTTTGACTGTGAAAAAGTCTTTTTGTTCTTTTGGGAATCCTCTAGCCACAAGTGAGCCTGTGAAAGTAAAAATCATGCGGTACCCAATCATGTTGAAAGGGCGCAATTACAGTTCTCGCATGGCATCGCATGCCTTCTGATGAGGCATAAAAAATTTTAAGGCTATAGACATGAATCACCATACTTTCTGGCATACTCTCGCTTAATGAGAACCTACTCTTGCACAAACCTTGATGTTGAGTAGGTAATGTCTAGTGCAAAATCCACAACATACGCCGCGCCACATTGCGATAAGGCCAATCCAAGCAGACCCTACGGAGACATCGTTAAAGGCTTATTCTGGACGTATTTCCTTACTGAGTATTGTTTTCGCATTTCTTGATTGATTTCTGTGCAAGCTGTATCTTTCGCTGTCTAGATGATAACCTGTGGAAAACGATGGTCACGTGCGTTAGGAATTTGCAATGTCATTACCACACCCTCACCAACAAAGATATCTCAAGAATACATTGAGTCTACCTAGATGTAGTGTCGTCACCACCTTTAAAATATCAACTTAGATTTTTTTTTCTCAATCTTCTTACTCGTAGCCATTTGACATCCGGTGCTCTTTTGTTCTCAGTGAATTCTTTGTACGTCGTTCAGATCGACTCACGTGCTTTGCATGATGCAAATGACAAGTGGAGCAGATTCGCGACCGTCTTGATAGCAAGCGAGCTCAGAGTGAGGGGAGATTCGATTTATTCCGAGCTAACTTTTGGTGCCCTTCATTACAACCTGCTACTGTCCTCCTTTGACATCCCATTGATCTCAAATCTACCATTCCTTCCGCAATCCTGCGTTTCCTGAATCCCGAAAGCCCAATCACCAATCGCAGTATACTTCGTCCATTGACGAGCTCTCAAAGGAGCCAGGTGTGAGCTCATCGGTCGAGCTGCGATCGCTGTGTGTCTCATTGTCACACTGGCTGTGTCCCTCGAAAGCCTTGGGCTTCCAGAATTCAGACGACGGTCGGGGGGAATCGGGGACGGGTCCATCAACAAAGACTGCGGCAATTAGTATTGGCTTTGACTATGCAGCACAGTGATCGATTCAAGCTCGTTTGAAGGTGTTACTCACCTTCTGTGTCAAGAGGCTGTTGAAGGGACCAGCTGCTTGCATTCCAACGCTGTGCGTCTAGCTCTCTCTCGGTTGCGATTTCCTTGGCTCTCTTTTCGGCTTTGTGCTCAAGATCATAGAGTCGTAGACGACCCCAGGGCGTGAGTTCTGTCTCCTGCTTTAGTCTTCCAAGTTCTTCTTCATCGGATGCTGCCTCAGCGTTTCTGAGTGAAACCCTTTCGGCCCTTTCCATGGCCTGTTTGGTAGGGCGCAGTTGAACTCCGGGATATTCCCATGAAGCCTGGTAGGTTGGCTCTTCCAGCTGACGACTTTTCGAAGCCTTGGAAAGCAAAATGCTGCGCAATAGAACCTTGTTCAGAGTGTCCGGAGCACCCAATGCAGCCAGTCTCTGGTCGACTAGGTCTGCGACGTCATCAATTTGAGAGAAGGACAACAATCGCGATTCGACATAAGCGGCAATTCCTGGGTTCTCATCAAAGGACAGGGCAGCCTTCTCCATGACGTTGATCAGAGGGGTCAAGGTGAGCTGGTCACCCAGACGAACGATCTCGTCTCTAGTCATTTCGCGGAGTTTGGTCAAAGACAGCTTGTCGGAAGCGACATACACACGAATAGCAGTCGCAAGCTCGGCTGAAATCTTCTCCTCGCGATCTTCTTCCTCTGACTGGAGGCACTGGTAGGTGCCTGTGACCAAATAGTGAATGATGACATGGCCTACGTCAGGCGTGATCTCGTCCAGCCATAACTCGCAAAGAGGATAAGCAGAATCATCATTGTCTCTGAACTGTGCAGCGTCCATCAAGTTCTCGGGGAGCAACGAACGGGAGATGTGCAGAGGACCCTTGCATTCGAAGTAAACAGCACAGGTACCACTCGCGTAAGGCCTGTTCGCCTGTCAACACAAGTTTCATTTCAGACAAGCAATACTCACGAGCTTGTTGGTCTGGTGTCGCCATGTTCCGCCATGTTGTGCTGAGTTTCGATGGTGCACCAACAGAGGAATTTGAGATGGAGGGGAGAAGAGATGCGGGAGTGGGAGAGGCAGATTTCGCGAGGGTTCAGTTGTGAGGTGTGTGGCGCTTGGTCCTAGCCCTGGTGGAGCTCATGGAGGAGGCTTGGTGTCACAAGGCTGCTCAACTCTGCCTGGCAGTGCCGATGTCACAACACGCGGATGCCATCCTCACACAACGGCGGGAGTCTGATTGGTGCTTCAATTCTCGATTTACTGGCTTGAAACTTCACTTGAGACCAAGATACAGCATCTTTAATCATTCCAGGTTAATTCTCACGATCAGTTTACAATCATTTTCACATGCCATACAAGATCTCAGACATTGGATCCAATCGTATGTATCATCATTATCAGATCTAGCTTGCCAGTAAACAAGAATCAATAACGCTCGTACTAATATCCATAAAAACATGTGGCTCGCAATTCGCTTTCCAAGATGTGATAGCCATGTACTCAATTGATGCAGAATATTTTCCAACCATTTATGCTGATAGGTAAGTATTGTTGTTTTGTGCGTGTAGCGCATCGTCCCGAAGCACGGGGTTGACTTTTGTGACCGAGTTACTCAATGGCCATCACTGATATGCTGGTTGAGAATAGTAGAAAGATCTGAAAGACAGTGTCTCTTGTGTCGCCTCTGGCTCCAGATTTGATGACTGCCGAGATAAGTCGCAGTGAGTGTCAACAATATTTGTAGAGATGTATGTATGCATATGTGATGTGGTAGTCGAGCTTGAAGAAGGGGCATGGGTGCTGCTCGATGTAGACACCCATCCTACATCCCTTGTCTCACTCCCCAATGTGAGAAGGGATGGAAGCAGTTCCAGCTGTATGTACTGTCGCCGGAACTTAGATGCTGAGCTCCATGATTGGAGGAGGCTTGTGTGCCTCTATCATCTTCAGAATGATCTGGTGAAATAGAACGGATAATAAAAATGTACCTGCCTCTCTTGGCTGGCTTCTCCTTGTTTCGGGTAGCGAACTTCTGGCTACTGTTGATGCTTCCGACCATGGCGCGCATGACTTTTCCGCACTTGATCTTGGCACTTGGAATGAAGTGATTGAACGGAGGCTGAAAGTGCACCTCGTCGTCATCCCCGACGTCATCCTCAACATCATCCTCAACGTCATCCTCCAAGGGGGCGTCATCTCCAAGATTTATCTGCTCCCTTTCTTGTAAATATTCTTGGCGAAGCTGCATATATTCTATCAATCCTGGCACGCGAGTTGGAAGTGTCTTTGCGACCATATCCCAGCCTCGTTCTAAAGCCGGCCCCTCGGCTTTCTGCATGACCTGGAGCATCAGCCACAGCCAACCCAATGTGTCTGGAGGATCCATGCTCAAGAGAAACTCTGTCGCCAGTCGCCTAGTCGCCGTCTGCAGGACTATCTCTGTGTATTCGTCAATCAGGTGGATAATGCCGGGAATATGCTTCAACGCCAAGGGAGCATCAACTATCGCCACTAGTACGGAGGCAGGGTTGATGATAAGCTCAGCCAATTTGATGGCATGTTCTTTGGATAGCAAACCCAGATCAATGATGTCATATCGGCATCCGATAGCACAGAGCGTGAGTGCCATCTTGTACTCTCTCAAAGCCATGTCCTGATCTTGCCCTGCGGTCTCGTAGTCAACTTCATAGGTCTGTGACATTATGTACTCCACAAAGACGCGACCAGTCGACTCGTCAACATCTTTCATCTTGTACTCGTCCTTGTGTTTGAAGAGTAAACCAAGTTTTCCAGTCTTGATGATGAGAGTAGTAGGGATACTGAACGTCGTATCTTCGAAACGAAATTGGCACGATTTGCCCAGTTGGCGTTGGGTAGTCATGGTGGCGAATGAAAATAAAGGTCGAAATGTGAGAGAACAGAATGACTGATGTACATAAGAGAGAGAATTATCCTGTTCTGCAGAGGGGGACGACGCTTACTTAAATAGACGAGAAAACAAAGTTAATCACTCACGGACTCCCTGCAAAGACTGGTCAGGCTTCTAGCTTCAAAGCAAGATGCTAAACCTACTATCACATGGCCACTGTATAAAGTTGTTGTAATAAGGTTCGGAAACTACCAATCCATCATTGGCTATGAAATAACTTTCACATCGCTTTTCAATACGTATTATAACTTTATACTTCAAACAACACTAGTAAAAAGCTAAATGAGACACCACAGCGATGAGTTTCTTTGGGTACGCAAGGACCTAGATATCAGAATACAGATCCCTTGAAGAATCGAAATATAAATCTACGGATGAAGGATTTTGAAGATTGGGACAAGGGTCAGACCACAAATGGCCGCTTTGTTGGCTCTTTTTGACACAGATTATGATTACTTGACTTCTTGTACTCTTCTTACACTTGAGCCTGAAAGTATGGCTAGTCAGACGTTTGAGGAGAACAGCCAATCATTTAGACAGAGTTTGCATTCAGAAAAGGTTAACAGATTAGCTCCTGGTGCGTCATTCGTAGGCCCTGGAACTACTGTCACGGTGACGCTACTCTTCGCAATCCGTTGGCCAGTGGTTTGCTCCATCTCAGTCAGACGTCATGTATAAGTGTCTTGTTGGATCCGTATTACTAACACACACCGAGGTAGTAGGATGTAAGTAGCTGTAGCACTGGGCATGGATAGCTATTACGAGACCCAGGCTTCCACCTGCTTGGGGGCCTCCCTTTCTGTTATGAGGATGACTGCCGCCTATAAGGTTAAGCTTTAGGCTGCAAACACAGGTGATGAGTGAGAACACGATACTCCCTTTCTGCAGAAACTCCCAGTTCTATGTGTCACTTGATCTTAGGTTTGCTTTCCTCGCATCATCTCAGCACCCATCTTGCTCCAGCAGAAAGTCTCATACTCTATAGTCAAGTTCCAGCGCAAGACCGGGCGAGAGATAAGGCGTGACTTTGTTGACGTACCAAACGATGCAAACAACTTTGATCTTCCCCCACTCTGAACTTGCTGTCGCGTCGGTCCACTGGTTCCCATCTTCACCAGTCTTGATTTGTTTCACATCTTCAACACCTGGCCACGGTACGGTTGTGACTAACGTACAGTCGGACAGCAGCTAACAGTGCGTCATCGGGGCAGGCAGGACATTCTTTAAAAGAACACAACAGCCTCTTCTATCACCACGGTCCTAGCTACTCTGAGACAGGCATTCACGGAAGGGTGACTTTGGTGAAACTTTTGACCTTGGGCTCAGATAGCTATATTCATGCATTAGAACCATCTCTCTTCGAGTACTCTTGTTCTGTAAGTCTTCATCGAATCTCTGTCTGTAGTTTGACGGATGTGGTTGTTCTGGGCCTGTAGACGTTGTAAGTAGCTTGACATCCGGCATACAATGCGCTAACAACAAGGCGATCGAGTATTTGGCCCGCGACTTTCCCAATAACTTCACAAGCAATAGTTTGACTAAATTGGCTGTCATCTCAGAACAAAACTCATTGCCACGGGGGAAAAACATAACTACTTCATAGAACTACAAATAAATAGAGATAGCGGTTGCAGCTTTCACCCAGTGTATGAGATCAGCTTCCCATCAGACCCTCTCAAATGCCACATCTTCCCACTCCACCCTACGTCAGCACGATTGCCTTTGCCGCCACCGCCAGACCACGATGGTTCCCCTCTGTTACTTGCGTGAAGTACAGGCTGTATGTGGTATTGTGTTCAAGGACGTAGTCACTCGAAGTTGCCGTTTCCTGTCGAGCCTCGGGCCACAAGAGAAGAGGGAACAAGCATCCTTTGATGGTGTTTTTCTCACGATCTGAGAATGGGCAACGCTCCATATACTCTTCGTCAAAGGGCTCATCTGACTTATAGTAGAAGAACTTGAGCCGTGTGGCGGTTGTTATCAGATCCAGCTTGAACTCCAAGGCTGGTGTGAGAAAAGAACCGAATTTAAGTTTTCCCGGGGGCACTTGATCGAGGTCATCTCTTCTGATCCCTGGAGGTGCCCAGGAAAATTCCAAGTGCTTGTAGAGTATACGTTCCAGTTCTTTGACCTTTCTTTGGATAATTTCAGCCCTCCTATTGCCTGTTACTTGCGGGAGTACCATGCAGTCTGCTTGATGAAGTCCATTGATTCCACCTGGATCACGTTAGTCATTTCCCTGTTCGGTCCTCCGTTCACTTACCAATGTCCATAATAATTTGCCGGTAGGCTTCTGCAATGGGGTTTGGCGGGTGAATGAATGCTGGGAAGGCTGGCTCGAATACCATTTCAATGACTGCTGAAGCGAATAGTCCTAGGAGAAACTCCACTTTGAAGTTCCTGGAATTTTTAAGTCGAGGAATACAATCTTTGATCTCTTGTCCAAAGACCTTTAGCGCCCAAGACTCGACGAGATCGCTGTGCATAGTTTGTTCCTCCGGTGCTTCTGGATATTCCCGGCATAGTCCGAAACATGTGTTTTGCATTTCCCGAACCACCGTCATGCACATTCTGGAAATCCTTTTCCCGTTCATACCTGGAATATCTACGTTGAAAAGCCTACTGCGGCTGGCCCTGGCTTCCGCAATGTCCAGCGTGTGCTCGAGGATATGTTGCACGCGGGCGTCAGGTTTGTGCTTCACCACAGCATCTAGCTCTCTCTTGAGTCGATCTTTTTCGATCTCTGACGCAAGGAGCAGGGTTTCAATCTCCCAGATTTCTCTTCCCTCGGGCGATGGGTAATTGGTGAAACGTTGCTCGACAGCTGTTTCAGCCCCAATGGGGGACGGGCTGTCGGCATTTTTGTCTACCAGGCTGAGACGCGATGAACTGTGAGGCGAATGTTGCAGCTCGGCGGGTTGGCTGGGTTCAACGGAAGAGCCCTCATCAGCCTGGTTCGCGGTTTGGTCTTTGTCTTCATCTGGCAATATCTATAGCAGCATGATCAGCACGAGATGAGCAACGAGCGGCAGTTGACTTGACATAGTCGTACTTACGGCCTTCAATTTCTCCGGGGAGACCATAAAACTCACCAGGAGCCTCTTGAGGCACCATTTTGCAAGTGCGCTGCCAGCTTCAGACCGGTCACCGTTTATGTCGGATGGTATACTGTTGAAGAACTGGTCAACATCCTTGGATATCTTCTCTGGTAGGTTCAGCGAGTCGAGGCCAAATTCGAGCAAGTTCTCGTGGTCATTGTCGCCTTCCATCTGGCCATATCGTCTTGATAGATACTTCAGCTGCTTCTCAACCTGATCGTTTGTGATCGTTGTTGGTTGGACAGCGTCCTGAAATTTTGGAAACGTGACACTCCAGAAATCAACACCATTGCTGAAGCTCCAGTGAAAATAGGCCAAAAGTTGGCAAATCTCTTCATGCTCCCAGGCCCTCTGCTCTGTTCCTTGTTTTCCGCCAGGCACGAGCTTCTTCCTGGATTCCCGCCTTGGGCGGTTATCGGCGTACTGTACTGTCTTGGTCCTTTTTCTTAACTGGTAAGGGGCTGCGCTGGCCCTTTTGGGACTGCGCGAGGTATTTGGATCCATGGTTGTAAAAGGTGAATTTGACACAAATCTTTGACTGTGTTGTCGTCTTTGTTGATAAATGCGAGAGGCGGGTTTCTTTGTGTACACCTATGGGGTACGGATTTCTTTGTTTGTCAGGTAGGCACCTAACAACTACAAACACAGCTAGAAAAGTAACCAATCAATTGACCGACGAGAATATGTAATTACCTAGGCACCAACAGTTTGACGACATAGCAAGCAGTACACTCAAAGTGTGTAAAGCTGTAAGCTCAGATGGAATGTGACATGTCAATAGCCTTGGCATGCGTATATTACTCATAAAATAACAAATTATGCATTTTTATCAAGGTATGGACTAATTACAGAGACTAAAAATCAACAATACTTTCCTTTGTAAGAAATAATGTTACAGGGCTAAGTTTTTATTTCCTCTCGTTTGCATAAGGCACTGACTGGTGCAACGTGAGACAAAGGTGCTTGCTATCTCAGGGAGCATTCACCTCTCTGTACCATCTATGCAGTATAGTGGTCGCTGCGAAATATTTATCCTTGAAGGCTGAATCTCTGAATCTCTTTCTCTTCCTTCTCCAGACTTCTCTCTTCCTATCAATCACCATCGCCATGTCTCCGCAACTTACCGACAAACTTGTCATGGCCCTTGACTTCGGTGAAACGCATTCATCTGTTTCTTACACCTTCGTGCCCGACGGAGTTCTAGCACAGAACTTGCCTCAATTTCACCCCAAAACAGTGTTGAATAACTTCTCTGGGATGACTGATTGTAGAGAAAGTTCGTCGCATTTGCAAGTCCCGAGCCTGCTTCGGTATCCCACGGGCTGGATTTTCCAACCGCTCGACGAACTCAGGGAAGAACCACTTGGCACCATCCGCTCTGACCATCACCAGATACACTGGGGCTTGCAAGCCCAGCAAGACATGTCCAGAGTGATGTCTCACTCTGACGATAATCAGATGCTTCTTCACGGTTTTAAAAGCCTTATGACCGAGTCAGGCCACCACCAGATGCAGAACGAACGTCTAACTAAAACGCTTGCCCGACTATCCAAGAAAAGGACTTGTCAAAGGGAGATTTCCACTCACGAGATGCTCCTCTTGGTAGTTATCGACTACCTCACGAAACTGCTCTCCCATGCCAAGAACAGTATCGCAAACAGCAATACTATTTCTACCACAGAGATGGTCATCTGCGTCCCGGCATCCTGGAAGCAAAGGGTACTGCGTGACATGCAAACTTGTGTTAATATAGCCATGAAGCGGGTCAACTTCCCCGGGGTTGGATTTAGGGACGGTTGGATGGAGAATGTATTCATGATACCAGAGCCAGAAGCTGCGGCGACACGGCTGCTCTCCGACCCATCTTTCATCAAAGTAAGCAAAGGCTTGAGCTTGATGCAAAATCGTTCCAGCTAACAGATAATAGGAAGGGGATGTTTTCACGATCCTGGATGCCGGAGGAGCCACCTGTGATGCCGTGACGTATACTGTTACGCAACAGCTGCCTCTCAGGCTGTCCAGGCAGGCCGTGCATCATAGCGGTGAGTGGTGTTATGATTTGGAGGTTCATTCTGACTATTGTCTACAGGCGATTCATGTGGCTCCAATGCACTGAATGATGCATTCCAGGATCTGCTACGGAGTTTGCTCGTAGGCCACGAGTATCTGAACGAGGGCGGGGCAACCTTAGAGGGCCACATCTGCAAATTAGCTGTTCATGACTTTGAACACTTTATCAAACCCATATGGTCTGCCACAGAGGATCAAAACAGAGACCAGGTGTTCGAGATCATTGGGCTTAAATTTGATGCTGGCGATCCCGCCCAGGCAGAGAACCCTCAGCTGTGGCAACCCAACCGCTTGACAATTCGATCGTAAGTGCCGCCTTAAATGCACAGTATATCTGTACTATATTCTGGTTCTAACATAGTGATAGCGAGTATGTGGATGGTATTTACAAAAAAGTTTGCGAAAACGTATCTGCCATTATGAACCAGCAATTGCATGCCTCAGCCCGGAGCGGCCTGCAAGTTTGTGTGAATATCTCCAATGCTCGTGGGAAAGAAACTGTCTAACAGCGAACAGAAAATTGTGTTGGCCGGTGGATTCGGGGAATCGATTCCTCTACAGAGCCATCTACGTGAAACTCTCGAGAGTTTTAATCTTGCCAACGATTGCAATGTACAACTTCATTCTTTTGGCGAGCATCATCAGTCAGTCAGTTCGGTCCTCTATCTTACAACCAGGGACTCACGATAGTATAGGATCACTACAATTGATGCCGTTTCCTTGGGGGGCGTCTTCAGGGCACTCGATAAGTCGAATGGCCCCACTAGAGTTGCAACATCTAGTTATGGCATACGATGCGACGAACCGTTCGAGTATTCGAAGCATGCGGGACAACGGGCAATCCAGGGCTTCCAGAACAAACAGGAGCTCTTTGTACAAGCTATACAATGGATATCGACAAAGGCAAATTTTTACTGTTTGTATCTCAGAAAAAGTGGTCACTGACAAATCCACTAGGGTCAAGACATCCCGCCATCGTTCAAGATATCTGCCCCGCGTTACCAAACGTTCCCTTTCTGGAATGGCGATACAATCAACCATGGGCCCTTCATTTGCCAAGACGAGATATGGGTATCGGATGAGGCCTACCTTAACAACCACAGTTATCTACATGAGCATAATAAAGGTAATGGTTCCTGAGACATGAGCCGGCCGCCCAGCCTCAATCAACCAGCACTGACATCCATTTCATCTTAGATGCTGAGATGATAGGCATCCTCAAGACGGATGTCACACGCCTACACAAGCTCTTTGTGCTTGAGCCTAAGGGTGCGCAACGTCCTCGTAACAAAGATATGTACTGGTCATTCCATTATCAGTTGGTCTTGACTATCGACGGCTTAAACATGAAATGTGAGTTTTTCCTTCAGGTCCACTATCCGGCTTTCACGCTACCATCCGCACCGTCATACGCTACTTTGCAGATACTGACCACGGATGAATAACAGGTGTTCAAGTTTTCGAAGGGCAGCACATTGGAGAAATGAATGTGGGCATCGCTCCAGGATTCGCACCAGGGGCCAATTGATCGTGTCCTGGTCCAGGCAAACAAACAAACGCATTAGGAAGCACAGGATCTAAGAGCTTCGACCCTCTCATAGGGCAGGGAGTTTTGGAAGACTTCAGGATACTTTAGGGAAAGAAGGAGTCTTGATCTTTTTTCATTTGTCTTAACATCATTTTACCCGGGTATTTTACATCATTCTTCACATTAGTCTCTGATCTAATAAAACCCAGCCTCTCAAGCGTAACGCTCAGCTGCAGGCTGAGTTGCTGTCATAGGTTCCTTGCCATTTCCCACTTGCGGTGGTGCCCAGTTCTGCATGGGGATACCCTGCCCTTGAGGAGGTCCGTAATACTGAGGCACCTGCTGGAAACCTTGCGCTCCGGGGCCCCAGTAAGCCGGTCCTCCGAACACCATTGTAACAGGTCTTCTCATTGCGGCGTTTCGCTTCTGGGTATCGATACACGCGCCGACGAAAAGGATGAAGTGCCAGAGCCAGACGAGGCAGGTAAACACTGACAGTGCAATGAAGAGCGTGCGTTTGCTACCAACTTTGTCGCTGCTTGTGCAAATGTAACGTCCTTGTGTAGAATTGTATTCGCAATCTTCGTCGAGGTAGTCGAACTCATTATAGTATGCGCTGAAAGTGCTCTCGAGACCGCCGACGATAGCAGCACCAAGCCAGATGAAGAGGGAGATTGCGACGTGGGCGCCAGGGTGAATACCGGCCTTCCATTTGCGACCGAAACGAGTGGCCAGTTCGGCGATGTCCCAGATCATTGCTACGACGAACTAGAGACTGTCAGTACATGCTAATCAAGGGGTTTAGAGAACCGTACAAGTGGGCAAGCACCGAGCGCGACCAGACCCAGTGTTTCAGTACTTCTGAGCGCGCCCGTAAGACCGAGTCCAACAACACAGCAAACGATATCGATCCCGTGGAGTGTGAGCTTGGTGATCATCCAGGCCTTAGACTCGGCGACTCGAGGGGGCGTCCACTGCTGCTGAGCAGGCTGTTGCGGGTACGGCGCGTAAGGGGGTCCATAACTGCGAGGGTCTTGCTGGAAGCCAGGTTGCTGTTGTTGCTGTTGCTGCTGAGCGTACGTCTGAGGGGCATGTTGCGCGGTGGGAGGCACAGCAGGAGAAGCTGCTGGCGCAGGATCCGTTTGGGTAGAAGATTCAGGCGCCATTGTGCGAAATACGACGGATTTAATATATAAAATGGAACGAAAGGACGCGGCGTGTTTGAGCCCCGGGAATGAAGATAACGCACAGCGATAACGAGTGTAAAAAGTGAACGAATGAATGGCCAGAAACGAAGCGAAACGAAAAAGAAGAATCTTGTGCGGAAAGGCGAGTAAGATAGACTTTATTATTTAAAGGAAAACAGAACAATTAGCTCGCTTCCAGCTGTGAAACCCCCAGGCCATCATTCGAGATTGAGGCGTTGGATCAAAGCCCCTGGGCCTTGCAAGGAGTAAAATCGTGTTAGTCCCTTGTCCCATTGGCCTTCCTGCAAGCAGTAGCGCGATGAGTGGAGGTGATGATCCATGCGCGGTGATCTAAGGGGCTTGTCGGTTACGGGAATGGCGATTTGTTCGAGTGCCTACGGAATGGGGTTTTCAAGAGCCAAATAGTACCAAGGCTGCGTCTTCTGGTTCCGGAGCAGAATCTGCTAGAGCCACGGTTGTGTTGGGTGTGGCTCTATCTTTGTTCAGGTCCTTCATTTGAGGCTGCATAAAACATAAAACATCCATGGCCGAGATGGGATCATGATGCTGGCAAAAGCACGAATTGTCGGGAATAGAAACCAACATCTTTCAAAACCAACTAACAACAGAAACAAAAGCGAAATTTTCCTTTCATCCTTGGCGGCCACCGTTAAGAATCTCAAGATTAGCCGCTTTGGGTATGGGTCTAGTTACAGCTAAGATTAGACCTACTAGGGGGCAGCATGAGGAAATCGCCGAACCTGAATGCCAATTCTTTACGGAGTAGGGCTATTGTACTACTCGTAGTGTGTCCCTTTCAATGAGTCAGTCAAACTGAACTAATGCCTAGCCTTTGGTCAAGTGCCTGGCTAAGACGGCCGACGGATGTTGTGACATTGTTACATAGCTTCTGCCGCCTTGGCACCAAAATGTCCCATTGAGATCCTTCGTCTCTGTCGGGAAATCACCTATATGCTCGTGAAATTGATGCAATGGGTATCAATCGGATCGTCTCTTGGCGCTACTCGATGACAATGCAGGCGCTTGTTTTGTATATATAACATTCAAGATCTTCTCGTCGCATACTCCGTACATTATTTATTCTCGCTGTAGAACCACCATAAGACCCATAAATCCCAACATCACTGTCTTCAGCCAAGGGTATTCTGATAGAAGAATCGTCACGTAACCGACGAATGGCATGTATCCCACAACGCTTCCAATAATGTCACTTCGTACGAGGTAGTCCTGGTTCTTGGCGTAGAGCTCGGTATCGTCCGAAAGGTTGTTGTCACCCTTGGTGAGAAGCCGAGCGGTATCACTGCACATCATTAGCCATTGCCCACAACTCTTGCACAAACAACGTACCCCTTGCCAAACTTGCGTACAACTCGGTGCACGATAGGAATGTCCTTGTCCTTGACGTTGTAAACGACAACCTCGCCAATCTCGGTCTCCTGTAGCAGGTTTCGGTTCCATAGGAAGAGAAGGTCGCCTCGCTGGAAGGCGGGCTCCATGGAGCCAGATAGAACGACGACGATCGGGGACGGTGAGTCGCTGATAACGGAGAGGCCTTTCCACATCTGCGACTGGTTAGCTTTCGTCCGGGAGCTGAACAAGACACGTTCGCACCATGAAGGCCGTGGAGAGGATGAGCGCAAAGTTCATGAGCTGCGCAGCAGCTTGCCGCGGGTTTCCGAGAGCCGACAGCATAGTGAGGAATTGTATATCGGTTTCGTGGGGTGAGGGGAGGTTGTTATAGAGCTTGACAACTCCACGATGCAACTTTCGCGCTGGAGCGAAATGGACATCTGGCTCATGGGAGCTCGAGGAGCACGGGCCACCAGACCTGGAGCAGCTGGGGCGTTTTTGAGGCTGGTGATTTGTGGCGGTGCTAGATCAAGGTAGTCCCCATAATTTCAGGGACCTTGACGCTATAAATGGCCTAACGCGGGGGTGTCATGCTCGAAAGAAGGTGATGTCATGACTACATGTGAAGCATGAGATCGATGTCATAGGCGTTGTAGGCGAGTAGGGAGCTTGGTATTTAAAATGGTCGTCTTCTGGTCTTGTTCATTGTGTTTACATTCTTCTTCATAATCTTCAAGTTCTACCGATCCAAGCATTTTGATCCTCACCAGAACCAACCCAAGCACCTGCACTTACATCAACCACTACACTCAAAATGGCCGACAACAACAATCAGCAGCCCGGTCTCATCGGCAGCCACGCCCAATACGTCAAGGGAGCCGCAGAGGTAAGTCTTTCTCAATCTCCCCCGGAACATCTCACTCACACCTTCCAGGCTACCATTGGCGCCATTACCGGCTCTCAGCCATGGAAGGCCTCTGGTGAACAAGACAAGGCAGCAGGTCTTGCCGATATGAAGAAGGCTGGCGAGCTTCGAGCGCAGAGCGACCCGAACCACGAGAAGGGATACGGAAAGGTCGAAGAGGTCGCTGGTAGACTTACCGGCTGCCAGGGTATGGAGCGAGAAGGACACGAGAGCGCAGCACACAAGCAGGAATAAATGGGCTGTATTATTGATGAGTGTACGATAGAACTAGCATTGCGATAAGTCGAACTGATTGACTCGGCTCATAATACTGAACTCTTCATAAACTTGGGGTCCCAAAACGTGAGGGCCACTCTCTCTTGCCTCCTTCCGTCTAGCATCGCCTCTCGTGCGCTTTCCAGTTATGACTGCCAACATCACAGCACCTTCTTTCTTCAGCTGTTGGCTGACACTTACCTACCACGATGGCTTCGTCCTCTCGTCTCTCTTCTTCCCAGCTTCATCATCGCGTATCTTTGTCTCGTTCAGCATCGCCCTCTTCGACGCCTGATCCCCTACATTTCTTGGCTTCATCAGCTCCTCGCTCCAGCATCACCTTACTGCAATTATCTGTTTCACCGCATCATTTAGATCATCGATCTGCACCCTCATCACCTTCTTTGCCGTTTCCGCTGAGTCTTCGCGATGGACTCGGCACCTCTCCTCCAGAACGCCGATGGCCTCCCCAGCCCCAACGTGATGCAGGACCATGTAAGTCATTTCCACGATGCTTTGGGCCATCTTTTTGCTGACATGATGCACTTGTAGCCTGCTTTCCTTCGAGCATCCCACTCCCCGTGGTCATTCATTCCGCAGAATGTACTCGTTATCTTGCGTGGAATTGTTTTGTCGCTTGTCACAGCCGTGGTGATCCTCGTCCTCAATTACGAGATCCACGAAAAGAGCGAGTTCTCCGATTGGCGTATCGTCTTTGACTTTGCCAATATCAGTCTGTTCTTTGTCTTTCTGTACCACCTCAAGACCTTCGTGAGTTTCGCCTGAGGATTGCCTCCGCTGTTACTGACTTCTCTAGTCTTGGACATTCACCCACCTGTACTATCCCCACCACCATGATCGGCACATGGGGGGCTTGGAAGGATGGCTCATCCGAAGAATGTCGCTCCCCAAGCACATGGGTAGCCTCCGCAAGCAGTTCTACTTCACACTCTTTTACACCATCACTGCTGTTTTCGCTTTTGCCAATTCGACCATCTACTTCTTCATCACACGCCAGCACAAGAGTGACGATGCCAGCGGCGAACCTCAACCAGAGCCTCAACCTCCCAACGGCACCGCTTCGCGCGTCTGGGCTCCATATGCCGAACAGACGCCTGCTGCTCCATGTCAGAGAAATCTTCGTATTGCAAGTTATTCAACTGACCATAAATAGTCACCGACATCTTTGGCGAGGGATGGTTCCGTGCCTTCATCATCTTGTCCTTGTACGCGTTCGGTTCTTCGGTGATGGTGTTTGAGATCCTTGTTCTCAACAGCATTCGACGTCCATGGGTAGGTTGGTGTTCAGTCGCGATAGCAGCTTACTGACCATATCACCAGACTGTCGGAATCCACCTCATCGGCATCATGTTCTCGGCCACAGCTTACCTGGGTTGGGCGGCCTTTGGTCACCTCGTCACCAAGTATTACCCATTTTTCTGGCTTGACAAGAACGAAGTTGGGTCGGATGAAGCGATTACTCTTTACTCCATTGGCTTCGTGTTCTTGATGCCCATCAGTGAGTTGTCCCTCTGACCTGTAAGGTGTAAATGCTGATTACCACAGTGTACATCCTCATGCAGGGTCTTATCGCTTCCCGGGAGAGCGTCACACGATCAAACTCTGAGGCTCGCGCAATCGCTGCTGCCCAAGCAGCCCTTGATTCCTGAAGGGGTGCGAATTGGGAATGGTAATGGGTGCTGGAATTTGTTTGGTGGCTAATGATGAATTGGGGAAGTCTGCCGACTGAGTGACTTGATGTGATATAGATTGATACACCTAGATGGGGTAGGGTTACTCGAGACGTCTAGTTAACCTGTCGAACCTAAAATTGACTCGACTTCGCACCAACGAGACGGATGTAAAACGTTGAGCAACGGCCTGTGATGATATTTCGCCGAAGTAACTCCCATGAGTTTACTCATTCGAGTTGAAAGACACGGTGCAATGCCCGTAACCGACAGTCGAACAGTCGGGGTTCATAAATGACTTGGTTGTGAAGCGTGCAAGATGCACCTGTAACATTACGGCGTCGTGAAGCTACGTGCGACAAGGACTTGGTGACACCACCTTGGATGCAAATCAACCAGCCCCGTTGTAGGATATTCACCAATCACACGCAAAGATCTACTGGCACAGATGGCAGGGCTCCGTAGTGTCTTCACACAGACCGTCGATTGGGTACCGGAGCAATGAGTTGGTGAGGCACCACCAGGACCACGACAGGGCATTTTACTGAGTGACATTGCACGGTCACATCAAGAGGTTGGAGTGGCGATAACACGGATGAATTGATTGGTGTTGACACGAAACGAGCCTTGTTTGATCGCGGCGGTGCAAGTACATAACGACTAGGAAGAAAAGCCGGGGAAGGTCAAAGATGACGGTGAGTTGAGTTGGGCATTGACTAAGGTTGTTTTGAGCTTTTACAAGTTGCAGGGGTCTTTGGTTGAGATAATAAACGTGAAGTGAGTGTTGGCAGAGACTCATATTTGAGCCTGACATTGCAGCCTCGACAACGAGATCAATGCAAGATAGACTCGGGCTTCCATATCACAAGTGCTTTGAAATCAGATTATTAATTCCACCCATTAAAAGAACCCAACAATGGACGTCGGGTTGCATTGCAGAGGCTATAAGTCAAGGAGTCGAGTCGCTGGCTGCCTCATGCTCACCCTTGAACCCCGCGGCGTGAGACACCATCGGTATAAATACAGGCCTATCCCCCCCATACCCCCGACTTTCTTTTCTCTTCCTCCCCCCCCACACACAACCAAAAAAGGGTCGCAAAGTTTCACCAAGAGGATATCGTCTTGTCTTGAAGGACATATTTCTCCGCCCGGGCCCATTTGTCAATCGTTTCTGTTGTGCGTCGCTCTTTTCTTCTTCCCTTTTGCTCTCTATCTCTTCGCTCTTTTCGTCACTCTCTAGCCAAGCCGATCGATCGATACACAAAGTTGGGAGTCGTTATTCTCCCTACAATATCCTGTCCGAGTCGAAATTCCCGTTACGAGTCCGTTCTTTATTTACCGATTTCCTCCCATAACCACCGTAGCCATGTTCAAACGCTCGTTTAGGTCGCAAGACCCCAACCGCGTCGACAAGACTGCGAGACTCAAGAGATCGGGCTCCCACCGGGATCACACGAAAATGTCGAAGCTGCAAAGATCGCTCAACGAGCAGGACGCCATTCCCCAGAAGCCTGCTCCAGCACCCGTCGCGCCTTCACCCTCGCCCATCGTCACTCTGACTGTTGGTCAAGATGGCCGGCTCTTTGCAGCACATGAGGATGTACTCCGCCAGTCGCCTTTCTTTGAGGCCGCCTTGCGCGGAAGTTGCTTCGAGGCACAGAGCAAGAGGATCTCCATCCCCGACGAAGAACCCGAGGTGTTCTCCGCCGTTCTCGAATATCTCTACAAGGGTGACTACTACCCACGTCTGCTTCACAACAAGCAGCGCAACTCTTGGGAGCTCGAGGACCAAGGCCGTACACCTCACACATCACCCAACCCCGAAACTGGAGGTGGCCGCGCAGGCGCTGCGTCTGAAGCCACCATCTACCTGTCGAGTCTCGATATGGCCATCCTCCGCGACACAGTCGTCTACTGCGCCGCGGACAAGTACGGCCTCGAGGAGCTCAAGCGTCTGGCCCTGCGTAAGCAGGGACTGCAATCCGGCATCGATGTCGGGACCATTATAAGGTCAGCTCAGTACGCCTACGCTCACACACCCGACTCAGACAGCCGTCTGCGCGCTCATTACCTCGCCCTGATCATCCGCTGCCGCAAGACCTTTAAGCGCAGCGGGACCATGCAGGCCGAGATGGAGGCGGGCGGCAGCAAGCTCTTCTTCGACCTGTTTGTAGCCATGTGCAATCACCTCGACGACGTCATTGACGTGAGCAATGCTCGCACGCCAAAGACTGTCTGAGTGGTTCAAGATAACACAAACACACACTACTCAGGCCTCCGGATGCTCCGTGTGTTTGATCATAGCTGGAGGACAAGCGCGAAATGGAACACCGCCAAATCCGCGAAAAGAGAAAAACCTACAAAAAAAGGTGATGCTTACAGGAACAGTTGGAAGTCGGCGTTTGGTTGCTTTTCATGCTCCGTCATCAGATTGAAGTCCTAAGGAGCCTTGTTTTATTACATCACTCCCCTTCTGCGAGGTTGGCCGACCGAATTTTGATGATACACGAGCTGAGAGGGTCTAATCAGACGCACACGACGTCCTTCACATCCTCTGCCCATTTATTGTGAGCTTACTTATCGCGAGTTTCTGTTTCTGCCTTGTCATTTCAACTCTGCTTTGATACCCACTTACACACGGACACTGGGACATTTCTCCCCTACTCTGCTCTGGCGTTTTGTTATCCACCAAAAAAAGACCGGGTTGTCTTTGGTTCAACACCAGAGTTTGGGGGACATTTTGGGAAGTGGAATGCTTGACTGCTTTTCTACACCCGCGAGCAAATGCCCCGAGATTGGCTAAAAGCATGCATTTGTACCATCTTGGAAATTTTTCACAGAAAAAAAAAGGATCTCTTCTGGTTTTGTTGCTGTCTTTTTGCTTTCACGTTTCATGGCAGGAGTTTTCTCTTTTGAACATGCTTAGAACGCGAAACGGATACAAACATCTCCTACTCGGATTTTGCACAGCAAGGGACGACCTTGAGAACGAGAGGCTTTAATAACATCTTAACCTCACACACTGCGTGTGTGCCTCGCCTCTTTAGTACCGGGTCGGCCCTCTTTGCTTTTGGTTCGCATCTACAGACTGATACCTCGAACCTGTCCTTTTGTTACTGCTTTCCTGTTTTGTTTACTGGAGGAGATGGGAAATGGAGATCCTTTCTGCATGGGTTTTGTTTGGGACCGGCGAGACGCCGATGAGAATGAAGTTACGATCTTGATGATTATTAACAACTCGGGATCGTTGAACGATCCTCCCTGGCGCAAGCACCGTCAGGGTAGAGGTAATGAGAAATTCGGCCACCTCGATTGATGTTCCTTTGCATGTGATGTCTGTGATGTAATGCTCAAAAGATAATGCGGTTTGTTGTTAGGCGGTTTCATCCCACTCAACCTCGAACTTCTCAAAAGTAACCTCGAGATCCTCCTTGATCTCCTTCTTGGGATCAGGTCGCGCGACAGCAGCAGCAATCTCTAGATCCCAACCTTCACCACCATTGTCACCATAAACCCAATTCGTCTGCCTCAACGGCGTCTTGTCACCATCCTCATCAATCCTGTACGTCCACATACAAAGACCCAGCGCATCCTGCACTTTCTGCACCTTTACAGTAACACACTTCTCACCATTCCTCACGCCAGCTTCATTCTCAGGCCCGACCTTCTCAACGCTCCAATCTGCCCACTGATCGCATGTGACGGTTGAGTAGCGCGGGTGATCGTTGTATAGCTCGATGCCGGTCTTGATCCACTTGCGGGGCGTGGGGGAGTTGGGGTTTGTGAAGACTAGGAGAAGACAGGCCTGGTCGTACTGATGGATGTATTTTGTGCGGAATGTAAGAGTCGCGGAGATGAACTTCTTAAGAGGGTTTTTGGAGTGTGTAGTGAAGGGTGCTGGGGGGAGTTAGTGGGTGAGGCTAGTCGTGATGGGTGATCGAGAGGGCGCGTTTGAGAGTGAGGGAGGGGTTGAGATGGACTCACCAGTGAAGACGTCAGTAGAAGGAGGCTGTTTCCAGATATCACTACCGGGCGGTGCCGACCACTTGAAGGGAGTCTCCATTATAGCTAAGTATACTTTGAACAAGAATAATATGTAGTGATTCTAGGATCTTGACGAAGTTCCTATTCAAGGGACACGTCGATGTATTTATAGATCTTCTGAACGATGTCTTTGACCAGAAATCGCGGGGCAGACCTGACGTAATCGGGGAAAGCCGAGCAAACACGCAGCGGAAACTCCGCTTCAGGGTCTCGTTGGTAGAATCGAGGTGAATATTAATAACCGGTTGTCACTTTTACGGTTAATTCTGAAAAGGTTCTGGCTTGACAGGGTACTATTTGTAGGGCGTGAGCTTGATGCGGATAAAGTGATGATGGGTGGAGATGAGCTGAATGACGAGATACCTTATTTGGAAGGGGATATTTGTGGCCATATGAATTGAGAGTGTGTAAATAGATGAACACATTAACTTAGCATATTCAGAACCGGTTTACGGTAATAAAAAAAGAGATTACTCCGTACATGCAGTAAGATATCATTAAATCAACTCGATGAATTGCTCAGTGACTACCCTGTACACGCCAACTTTGAGTTTGTGGGGATAAACCTCGGCTCTCTCGTCACCAACCGCTTCAGCAAGTTTGCTCGCACAAACAGACTGCAACAGTAAATCTCCTCTTCATTTCTCCTCATCAGATAAAGAAGCCTCAACAAAGATTGACGACTCTAGATCGAAAATACCCATCAAAGATTCTTCTCGCCATCTTTTGCGCGGTGTCGCGACTATCCCAAAAACATCACGCACTGGTGTTCGAACCGTCACTGCCTTGGCCCTCTAACTCAGTCAAATTGCAGGGGCTTGCTCACGCGAGTGAAAACTCTTCCCCACTCGACCATAGACACTCATTTCTTCCACCCAAAAAACCCCGCCTGCACCGAAACTCGCGATTTCCCTTCACCACTATCTCACCTCGTC